AAAACTAACGTACCGCACTGATGTGCATAACATAAATATTAGACGACAATATTTATTAACCATACCAATCCACAAAAAAGAATATTTTAAAAATAGCTTCACATATCAAATTGCATCTCTAATCAATAAATATAAAATAACCGATTTCGCCAGTTCAATTGCCTCGTTTAAAAAACTGATAAAAAATAAATTTCTAGCATAATATGACTCTGACAATATTTTTTATGAACCATACCAATCTACAGAAATCTTTTTTTTACAAACCAAATTAAAATCTAAACTTAAATCAATAAATAATAATAAAAATCATAAATAAGTAATTTTAGACGTAAGTAGATACATTGTTTAAAAAATAAATGAAAAACAATTTCTGCATGCATAATATAGCATAACTGATCCCTACCCTTCCCCTCCTTCTCCCAACCCTTTTTTTTGTTTATGTTTCTCTTCTCTTTTTTTTACATTATTGTATACCTTTCGTAAATATAGAAATTAGATATAAGTGAATGATTATGAATGTTAACATTCAAAGTCTAATTTTTTTAAACTTTAAACTAGCCACTAAGTAATTATAATTTTATTAACTATTGATCAGGCTTCAACAGCACCTTCCATCGTGAGGGAAGCTGCATAGGTGGCCATTTATTCCATATAATTGCTGTAATAACTGTATTGTAATTAACTTGTTTGGGATAATAAATGTGTTTATTATTATTATTATTATTATTATATAGATTAGAAAATTTTGGATTAATTTTCTTTGCTTTTCCATCCATAGACGCGTTTCGACCTATATCAGGTCTCATCAGTATGGCTAGGAAAAGCAAACAAAACCAATCCAAGTTTTGTGTATGTATGCAAAATAGATTGAAAAGCAAAGAAAATTAGTCCAAAATTTTCTAATCAGTGTATAATAAGGAGAAATCTTTTTTTCCTATTTTGGGTTTTCCCAACGAACTGATTTTTGGTCGGCCAATTAGATGGCATCACTAATTACAGCAAAAATTGCTGTTTAGTGTTGAATCCTTGTCTTAGATGGCGCCACGATCAAATTTCGACCGTCTTACTACTTTATATATATATATATATATATATATATATATATATATATATATATATATATATATATATATATATATATATATATATATATATATATATATATTTATTTAATAGAATATGGAAATCGTGACTGACTAGTATAGAACACAAGTGAAAATTTTCAAGATTGAAAATCTTCTTCGTGGGGTTGCAGTCAAAGTTTTTTGGACCAGGGACAAAATTAAAACATTTGTTGCTTAGTCAAGCTTTCGTGAATTGGCTCCTCTTTTCTGGCTTATAAGGTCCGGTTTTCCTAGTTTAAAATAATTGTTACCCATGATATTTATATAATTTGAAGGAAATAAGAAAGAAAATAAATCAAAAAAACAGAGTTGAAATTTTCCCAATTACTACTCACACATGTATTCTTTGATGTTTCTGGTCTCCTAGGAATGCTTCTTTATATTTCGAGTAAAACTGAGTCGTAAGTTTTTATTTGATTACTATGTTTATATTTTATAACAAAGAAATATTGTACAACTTTTAGGCTGTCCTGAAGAAGGCAATAAAGAGTTGCCGAAAGCTTACCGAAAGCTAAAGGCCGTATCAGACGTGCCGTTGCCGATTCCATTAGCCGTTGCCGTTGCCGTCACGGTTGCAATCACACTTGACACCGTTCCGTTACCGATTACTGGTCACTTGAAATGTTTATAACGTCAAAATGTCGCAGCTAAAATATTCAAAGTACAGCGCCGAACGTCGTCGGAAAGTTTATTCTGCGTTGCTGTGCTATATGATTATACTGGAAGAAGAGGAAAGAGAAAGATCCAAACCAAAATCGGTTTTGGTGCAACACCAGAAACGATAATTGCAAAACTAAAAAAGTGACGTTTAGACACATGTCACATCAAGCGCTTTCATTGGCTACGGTTCAGAACGGCCTCGTAAAATTTAGACTCCAACCTAAACATACAACGGCGATCGCAACCAGAAGCAGGTACATTTTGATTGGTCGAATTCCCAATCGTAATCGTTAATAGTAATCGGCAACGGCACGTCTGATACGACCTTAAGGGGGGATGTTTTGTGGATAGAGGCAATTGACAACGACAGTGATTTAAATAGATTCGATTCAAAATATTATTCATGTTGTTATTTATGTCCAGTGTTCACATCTTTGTTCCTGATTCAGATCCTACTCTAATTAGTTTTTAGATTGGGTAATGACCACAACAAATAACATTGAATGTTCTGATGTTAACTTAGTATCAGAGGAGACTGAAAACTTGAGACGTTATTTTAGGGAAAAACGTTTGGATATGGTAGAGCTATCGTATGCTAATATCTGTAGTTTGTTTGTTTAAAAATATTGAGCCTTTAAGAAAATAATTCAACGAAACTTTTAAAAATAACCCCACTGCTCTTTTCTGGCTGCAGTACATAAATATGATATTACAGTGGTATTTAATTGCAAAATGTAGCGGAGATTGGAACCAGCATTTACTATATGTAGAGAAAATGCTCCTTTTTATGGTGTTTGCTGGACACTATAAATATGGTGTCATATATACCTCATTATTTACGTGATATGAAGTCTATGTTTGTTCTATGCCCATATCAGTCCAAACGCCGTTAAGCACCCCATCTTTTTAATTGAATGGTAAATTTTCCTTTTAGAAACGCTTCGCGTACTTCTGGAGCAGAAATTTTTAGAATTTTCATATCACGTAAATAAATAATGAAATGACACATATTTGTAGTGTACAGCAGACACCATAAAAGGGAGCATTTTCTCTACAGATAGTTAATGCTGGTTCCAATCTCCATTACGTTCTCATTAGCATACGATATCTCTACCATATCCAAGCGTTTTTCCCTCAAATACCCTCTTAAGTTTTCAGTCTCCTCTGATACTAAGTTAACATCAGTCATTACTCAATCTAAAAATTAATTAGAGTAGGAACTGAATCAGGAGCAAAGATGAGTATGATAAAAAACACTGGACATATATATAACAACATGAATGATATTTTCATATAATACATATAATATCACAAGAAAATAAATTTTGTCGGCAAAATTTTCGAAAGGTATGAAAGTTTGTTTGTTTTGACCAGTTTCGCAATTCCAGATCGACTGGCGAACTCCAAAATCGGATCGACCAGGTCAATTTACATGAGAAGACATTTTTTTTAGGTGGTTGTTCGCGATGTCTAATAGAGGGTCCTTGAAACGCATCGTAGAGGTGCCTCGTTCTCAGACTAATATAAAAATGTCATTTTAAGAAATACTTATCGCTAAGGCTTCCTTTAAAATGGTCGGTGCAAACGGTTATAAGATGTATATGTAAAGTGGGACCTAGGGAGCACTGTAAGCCATTATCTAAAACACACCAAATCCTTACAGTATTTTGTCTATACCTATATCTTGGAAACATCATCACTAACGTATAATAGTTATTTGCCTAACAAATGCCGCGGAAAGTGATACTTTACCGCATGTAACGGCAGTTGACCGAACTACGCGAAGCGGAGTTCGGTCAAGTCGTTAAGGGCGGTAAAAGCACTTTCCGCATGTGTTAGGTACAAAATTTTACCTATGAGCATCTACATCTCTAAAAAAAGGCATTAATAAATTTAATTAACGAATCAGATTAATTAATGAAATTACATTAGATTCAAAAATGATCAAAAATCCATTTTCTGAAAACTATGCGGTAAAGTTAACTTTACCGCACACTTTGCAGTCCACTTTACCGCATACTATGCGGTAAAGTGCTACTTTCCATTTGCAAATAAGTGCGGTAAAGTGCACTTTACAGCACGCGCGTAGATAATAGTTATTTACCTAACAAATGCGGAAAGTGATACTTTGCCGCACGCAACGGCAGTTAAGCCGTTAAGGGCGGTAAAAGCACTTTCCGCATGTGTTAGGTACAAAATTTTACCTATGAGCATCTACATCTCTAAAAAAAGGCATTGATAAAATTAATTAATGAATCAGATTGATTAATGAAATAAGATTAAATTTAGAAATGATAAAAAATCCATTTTCTGACAAAGAAAGGAATTTTGATTATAAATATCAAATTCTACTTTACCGCACACTATGCGGTAAAGTGCACTTTACCGCACACTTTGTAGTTCACTTTACCGCATACTATGCTGTAAAGTTAACTTTACCGCACACTATGCTGTAAAGTTAACTTTACCTCATAGTGTGCGGTAAAGTGATACTTTCCATTTTCAAATACGTGCGGTAGAGTGCACTTTACCGCACGCTCGTAGGTAAAAAATATTACAATGGACTGGAACAACAAAAACATACAGTGAGTTTCCATATATTTTAACCCCTACCTACAGCTACAGCTAGCTATACGAGGTGGAAAAAAACTTTAAATATGAAAGTTGTAGGGTTTTATGTCTATTATCTTTCGCGAATGTCAAAACGGGCAAATGACAGGTGCCAACTGTCACAATGACAAACACTTGCATTTTTTAAATGGAACACCCTGTATATTTTTGGCTAGAATGATAGCTTTTTTTCTTCTGATTTCAAATATACCATATATGTTGATATTTGGTTCAGTTATTTTTGCGCTATTTAATTTTAAAATTGCATTTTTCCACCTTGGGACTGCTAGGTTTATAGACCTGTCAAAAATGTATCTAACTGTACGGATTCTGAAACCACAGACGATCTCCTTCTTGAAATATTTATTAAAATCGTCAATAAAACTTCTACATGTTTGATAATCCTCTTATCTTATCTTCAAACGATCAGAAATGTTTCCAACATCTTTCCATGAACAGTGAAACATTGTTAATTTGGGTATTTTCAACACTGCAACCGGGTACCTTTCAAGGGGCAAAGCACTAGTTCAAACAGGTTCCAACCAAAGTGAAAATACGGTATTTTCCAATTTTGAACCAAAACCATATCATACACTAAATTCTTACCGTTTTTCACTGTAGTACTCGGCCTCAGCTGTCCGCTCTTTAGCTGCTTAGTAGCCAAAGCCAAGCCGCTGCTCAGCAACTGCAGCGCCCTCACCAGTAGCACCATTTGCTCGGTACGACGTTCCACTTCCGTAGCTGGCGGGCCTGTAGCATTCGACGAAGTCCTATTCACCAAAGCGCTGATCGGCGCTGCTCTTTGAGACGCTAATTCGATTACGCAAGTACTCAGCGCCAACACAAAGTTGATTTTGGCTAGAGTTTCGTTGTGTTCTTTCTGTAATGTAAAAATAATTAATTTGATGCAAAAATGTTTGGAAAATTCCAGTAACTACCTCTAATAAGGTTTCCTCTGGCAGTTCCGGTGCAAACCCGATAGGTTGAGCGTCACAGTTACTAGCGGCATTTTCAGTATTTTGGAAGAACTGATGATAGTTACCCATTTCGGAGATTTCGGGTAGAGTAACGGCTCTAGTGCAAAACGGTATGACCGGAGAACGACCCAAATTGTTGTTGTCGCTCAAATTCGGGCTGCTCAATATCGGTACTCGTGCCAAAGGACCACTCAAAATTGGAGGCGACGTGCCTGAAATTTACACGTAAATGTGGTAAGTCACATAGATAAAATAAAATAAAATAAAATAGTAAACTTTACCTGATCTTCTCAGGGGTGAATTCAGGGGCATATTTTTATTAGCACTAGTAGGGCTCACTGTCCATAAATTAGGAGGCGGAGGTGTTTCGCACAAAGAACTAGAAGTGGATCTTCTTCTGCCACCACCAGGAGGCGTTCCAATAACAAATTGAACCTAAATTCAAGCAGTTTTCAATCAAAACTTGAATATATTTTGCTTAAAACTTACTGATGGAGGCGATAAAGAGGCAATATCAATATCAGTGCTCAATTGTCTGTCTGGTGGCCTCTTCATGGTAATGGGTTGCGATCTAGGCACCGAACCATTTTTGACAGAGGAAATTTCTACAGGTGAAGTTGGTGGGTGTTCTTCGCCATTCTTTTTAGCCTCTCGTTGGCTGTGCATTTTCTGGAAGGCAGCGCGTTGAGTTGGAACAGGAATGGGCTCAGATATCGGTAAGAAATTGGGCCTTGTAGGGCTGTTTGGTGTCGGTTCGTCAGGTGTGCGCACTGCAGCTCTAACAGGCAATCTTAAGCTAGAAATTAATTATGATTAATGAGGAATAAGTATTGACAAAGAAGCACTGAGTGGTGGAGAAGACATAATCAGAACCTTAAAGACCAATAATATTCTGCAATTCTTACCTCACATTGTTATTAGCTGCTCTTTCCCTTTCCGAGCTCGTATCAATAGACTGATTGGACCCGATGGATTGCACATTCGGCGGAACTATAACATAATCGTCCTCAGGACTCGAACTCAGAGCCGTTCTTGCAGAACGCGGCGATTCTACAAGACGAGATTAGTAGAAGCGAGCAAAATGTTACATCAATGAGAAACCCACAAATGAAGCTTTTGGTAACTTACCAGGTTGTGAGCGAGGCGGAGTCGCAATTCTTATGGGTGTTGAAGGTTTCAGGGCGATTTTGGCCATCGGTGAAGAACCGTAGATGGCCATGGGTAATTCGCCTTGCACGGTATTGGAATTTGGTGGCACTGGATCCCTTTGCAAAAATTTATGACTGAAAAATATCTCAAAGTTCATACGTTCTTTGGCGTTTCGCTTCAAAAGACCCATAAGCAAATCGCATAGTTCTGCAGAAGTACTTGAAGGAATCCTGTAACAATTTAATATGAAAAAGAAGTAAAAATACAATAATTATTATAATTACTTTGGTGCTAAATTAGCATTTTTTTCATAAAACGACTTCAACTCTTGAGGACTTCTGGCTTGAAATGGGGCTTTGCCTGTTAGGCATTGAAAGACTATGGTACCCAAGCTCCATAAGTCAGCTTTGGCATCATATTGCAATGACATTATCACTTCTGGTGCCTGTAAACAATATTCTAATATGTTGTTAATTAAAAAACACAAATTCTCACCATATACATTGGACTGCCGCATAGGGTAGCTGCCATAACGCCATCTTGTAGAAATCTGGCGAAACCAAAATCAGCTACAAAGGATTCAATAGTATAAATATCAAGACAGTAGCCCATTATATGAATGTTATTTTTTTAATATATTAATCTATAGTAGATTTTACCTATTTTCAATTTGATCTCTGTCGGTTGAGGATGTATTTTAGATCCAACGTGCGACAGCAGTATGTTTTGCGGTTTGAGATCTCTATGTACGATGCCTTTGGCGTATAGGGCTTTCATTGCTCCAGCTAAAAATTTTGTTTGATTTTTGGATACATAGATTAAGTATGCTTACCTAATTGGTTGAGGAAAAGTCGGATGGTGTCCTCGCTGAGACTGCCTTTGGCGGATAGGTAGTCGGCCAAATCGCCACCGTTGCAGTACTAGAAAAGAAATAAGAAGACTTATAAATTATATTTATTGGAGTTGGTAATTTAAAAAAAATTCAATTGCATCAAGGCAATTTTTGAATTAAATAATGATAAACTACAAGACTACAAAGAGAACTGGGTGGTTATCTATATTTTGCACCCACACCTATCTCACCTGTTTAAAGCGATACCATTGAGCGATACCCAGAAATGTCAAATGTGAAAGTTGTAGGCAATATCAGAATGAGACATGCCTGATGGTTTAGAATGTACCAAAATGGTGGATTTGGAAATCGAAGCCAACTCGGCTCCCATTAAACAACGTTACTATCCTCTGTCACCTGCTTTGCAGAAAGAAGTCCATTCTGAACTTGAACAAATGTTAGCTGATGGTATAGTGGAACCATCTAGCTCTCCTTTGTCGTCACCAATTGTTATGATTCGGAAAAAAACGGGAGGCTGGCATTTTTGCGTCGATTATCGACAACTAAGTAAGGTTACCGTTCCGGATGCCTATCCGATTCCTTTTGTCAGCGCGATTCTGGATAAGTTTCGAGACGCCAGGTATCTGAGTACATTAGATATAAAATCTGCATGTTGGCAGATTTCAGTTTCTGAGTCTTCTAGACCCTTAACGGCTTTTATTGTACCTAATAGGGGTCTATTTCAATTTCGACGTATGCCTTTTGGCCTTACTAATGCACCAGCTGTATGGTCTATTGTTTCAGGAATTAGTTGACATTTTCTATATTTATCGTTTTTTACAGAGGCATCCTTAATGATATATTTTCTATAGTTTTGGGTGGCTATCACTTGATCCTGTATTGCCAGGACGAATCCTTCTGTCTCAGGGTGGAGCTGGCCCTTTTTTAGGAACACATATTGTCTGCCCAGCGGTTCTGAGTCTACGGAAGGAATTCGGACGTAAATGTGCGATGTTGCCACGTTTAATTATAAAAAAACAAAAATACTAGGCATGAGGTATAGTTCATGTGAAAATCCATTTTTTAATAACAAAATATAGATAAGAATAATGAAACGCTAAAGATTCTAACGTGGTTGTTAGATCTAGTCTTATTTTAATAACTGATTTCTTCAATTTTGTCTAATATAAAAAATGAACATTTTCTAAAGATACCATCAGCTTTTGTCTGCAGCTGCTGATAGTGCTGGAAGACGCAGACTAATAGAACCTTGTATTTTTTTGTATTATCTCATAAAAAACACGATTTCTTCTACTTGTTGGGATAAAACATTGTATGCCACTCGTGTGTTATGTTTCCTAAGTCACTTGAGAATTTATACCACTCGGCCTGACGGCCTCGTGGTATAAATCTTTCTCGCGTGACTTATTTTCAACATAACACACTAGTACCATAAATAACTATTATTATAGGGGACTGTTAGCTTTTATAAACCTAGCAGTCCCTTAGTTTTTTTTGATTTTCTCAAAAACTAAAGGAGCACCTAATTTTTAATTAGAGGCCCTAATTAGCACCTAAAAAGCACCTAATTATTATATAGTTCCCGAAGTTTTTTTCCACCTTGGGACTGCTAGGTTTATAGACCTAGTGTTTCGTTGTTTTTCGGTAACATGAACGTAGCTCCCGTTGTGAAGAATTCTGGGATCGACTCTGGGCTGGACCAAGCATTAGCGTACTGAGGTGCCAGATATTTGTATGTACTCGTGAAGTTTTTCCACCAATTAGCTTGAATTTTGTCCAGTCCCGGGGGGTCATTTCTGGCAGTTGGGTATGTATTTCTTTTTCCTGTTGGATCCAGTAGGCTCCTTGGTTATGCTGTTTTTCTCTGGACCATACGTTGGACCAAAATTCCATCATTTCAGGCTCAGAGGGAGGTTGGCACTCTTTTAGAATGCTATTCTGCTCCAGGTGTTTGTAGAATTTGCGGGGGCTTTTCTGGAGAGTTTTGTTTTCACAGATTTTTTTGTCCTTTCTGTGTATCGTCTAATTCGGTATCCCAGTGCAGCAACTTTTTGTTTGAGTGTGTCCATGTATAATATGTAAGTTCTTCCGTTCCCGTTTGGCTGGTGGAGTTTTATGTGTTGGCTTTTTGCAATTTTTCTGACTCTTTTCTCAAGTTTGTCTGTAGACTCACCATAGATGTAAGTAAATGTATCTGGCCTATAGTACACAGTGTGTAAAAAGTCCCGGAACAGTCAATTATTTCGAAACTGGTGCACAATATAAAAAAACTTCCTGTATAAAAGTTGAAGGTCTTAATAAAATCTATTGAAATAGGACTTTTGTAATTATACAGGGTGGCCCAAAAAGTTGTGCTACACAAATCTTCATTTTTTTCAATGAAATGATCCTTTTTTAATTACATTTTCTAATTCCTCTAGAGATTCTTAACAACAATTATGAAACATGTCATATAGCTAAACCCATTAGTTTCAGAAATAATTTGAGTTGAAGGACATAAATACGATAAGTACGATATTACCTACATTTTGCATTGTTTCGAGTTGCTTCAAAATGTTTCACGTTAAATCCTGAAAAAAAAAAAACATTTAACTTGTGTTAAATGAAATGTACCTCACTCAAGTTTAGTCAAAATTTTATTAATAACTAAATTATTAAATATACAAGCAGTAAAGTAAAATCAGCAATAACTTTGAAAGAACAGAAATAAAATTAAGTGTAAGACGTTATTTTATTAAATGCTGAAAATGTCCTCCTCCCACAATTTGACAATGGGTTAGGTTATAATAAAATTTATTGATGACGTTTTGTAATATTTCTTAGTTAATAGATGCACATTCTTCAATAATTCTTCTTCTCAATTCGTTCAGATCTGGAGGTTTTGTCACAAACACTTTATTTTTCAGATGTCCCCAAAGAAAATAATCAAGGGGCGTTAGGTCTGGTGACCATTTTGAACCAACTCGAAACAATGCAAAATGTAGGTAATATCGTACTTATCGTATTTATGTCCTTCAACTCAAATTATTTCTGAAACTAATGGGTTTAGCCATATGACATGTTTCATAATTGTTGTTTAGAATCTCTAGAGGAATTAGAAAATGTAATTAGAAAAGGATCATTCCATTTAAAAAAAATGAAGTTTTGTTTAGCACAACTTTTTGGGCCACCCTGTATAATTACATAAGTCCTATTTCAATAGATTTTATCAAGACCTTCAACTTTTATACAGGAAGTTTTTTTATATTGTGCACTATTTTCAAAATAATTGACTGTTCCGGGACTTTTTACACACTGTGTATGTTTTCTTAGTTTTGCTATCTTTTCCCCAAGCCGCTTTTTCCATGGGGGCATGTTTGTTGGTTTTGTATGGCTCTTGTACTTGTTGTTTTTTGTTTGGAATAAGCCGAGGGTCTGAGATACTGTCAATGCTCGATTGTGGCAGTCCTCCAGTTGGTCCTCCGGTTCAATCACTTTCGCCAAAATGGCGTTGACTTGTACCACTGACGTTTTGGTGTATTTGTTGTATGGCACTCGGGGTATTGCCGATCAGACATTCGTAGTTGGAGTTCATTTTCAGTATCTTCGTTCGTCATTCGCGCTGCCATCGTTGAGCGTCGTGGTTGCATCTAACATTTGCTAGTGATTCATTTTGGTGTGTTTATGTTCATCTAAAGTTTTGCGCAGAGGGGCCTTTTCCCTCGCCTCGGTCATTTTGTAATTCAGCTGACACTTCCTGCTTCAAGGCTTCAAGTTCAACCTCTGATAGAGCTTACGTATGGCACGCACTTGGTCGGACAGCTCTTGTGGTGTTATTCCAAAATCCGGTCTGGAGTCTAGCCATATATCATGAAAACTTGTTCGGTAGTCAATTAGGTTCTTGCCGAGTTCCGTAGCCCTGTGGTAAGCGCATATCAGGTAGCGGTTGTCCGCTCTTCTCCATTTTGCGCGCCTGCCTACCTCGATTCTCCTAGCGGGTCGCTCTTCTCGAGCTTCCAAGCTCGGAGGTCGCTCTGGTCTACGTCCAGTGGCATTGCGTGGCCTTGCAGTTCCATTTCGGAGAGACGCGCTGCTTGCTCCGACGTCCTCTCCTAAGGGCCGATCTTCCTGACGGCTCCGAGGGGGGTCAGCCTGTAACCCCTCACCGCCCTGAGCTTGACGACTTAGTGTCCTAGGAGCTTTTTATCACAATGCGAAGGGTTGCTAGCCCTTTGCACCGGGTGCTGGGGTAGCTTTACAGCCCCCCATGCAGGCGAAGCTGGCCGTTCGAGTCTTGCGTCGTTACCCGTAGCGAGGAAAACTTAACTGGCTACAAAGCCCACCTCGGCCAGACAAACTATCTCCCGTGCGGGGATTGGTTTCTTGATTGAGGATTTCGAGCTAAGATTACCAGACAGACCCGAGGAAAGAAAATGTTAGAGGAATTTAAGAATCTGGGAAGGATTAGAGCATGAAATTGGATAACCAGGAGAGTTAGGAAACGTTAGGTGAGTAAAACAGCAGACAGCTGGCGCCCTTGGCTGCACCGCCTGCGCGTTGCGGTGGCATGCAACACACTACTGGTTGCAGCGCTGTCATGGCCAGACATTATTATTATTATTATTATTATTTCAAGAGTAGGAGCTCAATCGCTTTATTAGGTATTACATTCTGCACTCCTACTTACAATTTTGTTTGGCTCAATATTTGAGTAAACATCAAAAGTGAGTCAATAGTTTAATTAGGAGAAATGGCGTTTCCTTGTCAAATAACTTTCTTCAAGGAAAATTTGTTGGTGTATATATATTTTGAAGAAGGGTTGTGCCTAGTGCTTCTGAAAAATACTTCAAGCAAGGGACTTCAAACTTCAAGGAATTATTGAGTATGGTATTTTCATCCAACAAAACAAACCACGAGTGGATCTCAATCCCAGAAATGGAATTATGAATTTTATCTTCAACTTTACCGACCTATGTATCTCGAAAATTAAAACATTAAGGACATACGTTCATATGGCTTAAAATGGCCCCAAAAATCGCCTTCCTAAATATTGACATTCAATTAGAAAACATCCTGTATAATGTTCCTGTAATATAGACTTTTCCTTATGAAAATGATATATACCAAATACCGCACATTAACAAAACGTTATGTAATTATTATGCCCATACTTTCATCAGCAAAAAAATATTTGCTAGGCAAACAAGGACTTATTGTTCGGTAGCCGCGAATAAAAAAATGCTTATCGTAAGTTATTCGATTTTATTAGCGTATATGTATAGGAACAAACAACTTATCCCGCGTGCATATATTATTAATTTTGGCACAACTTCAACCAGATATAATAATTCAATTGTGGTCATTTGAACGGATACGACCGTACTAGGCGTACTATTATTAGGGATGATTAAACAATTGGCCATATTAAACTAATTTTGTCTAATGTTATTTTGGTACCTAAGGTACCACTGACTAATACACAGATAAAATCTGCACTTTCATTTTATACTCATATAAAATTTCCAGGTAGATTATAAAAACCCTCAACTTCCGGATTTACTACTCTCTCTTTTGCTCTCAATGCAAAAATTTCAACAAGCAACCACCAAAATAGGTACCTACCTATATAAATTATCTTATCTTATCTCCCTTTTCAGATTAGAAATGACGTTGACGTTCATTATACCACAATTATCTAAAACCGATCCCTACTTTTTAGAACTTGAAGAGACTAAACCCAAGTCGTCACGTGTAGTAAAAATTTGCATTAGTTGCAATTATCATTGTCGAGGTTCCCTCCAGACTCGGTAGTACATCACAAATAAATACGATATAATAGTCGGTTCGCGATATTCAACTTGTGAACTGTGCTTTAGTTTTTTTGCAGTGGGAAAACTTACCATGGGCGGCAACTTTGTTTTCGGATTGCTACTGTTCAGTGTTGCGTAAGAAAATTTTAATTAATTTTGAAATTTTGCTAAAAAATTTTGAAATAAAATGTTTAATAATAACGTGTGACTCATTAGCTCCCTTGAACTCAAAAATAGATACTTTTAGCTAAAAATCTCTTACAAAAAACCAATAGAAATACACTTCAAAATCCCCTTATGAAGCTGTTTAAGTGTACCCAAAGGGCATACAAAATCCTTCAAAAGTGAAGACTATTTTTGATAAAAATTACGTGCCTCCAAGTTAAAACAAGCTGAAAGTGACATTTTTATCTATTTAAAGCTCCCCAAACAAATTTTACTTTATCTTTGTCACACTTTTAACATTATGTTGTTGTTGCATCCCAAAAAGCATCCTTTTTTCACCCTGATATAATCATAATGATAATGATGTTATTTATAGATATAGAAAATTGATATAGAATGTTTGCTTTTTTTCTCAATCCGGCAAATGATCGATTGGTTTATCGTGAATTTTGTATGAGTAATTTACAATTTTTCGGTAATCGGTTTGGGTTGAGGCACACTGGATCAATATTTGTTCAAGATAAGAATTTCCCAAGTAGTTTTTGGTTTTATGTGGTTATTTATATTTATTGGCTTTGAAAAGAGAAATCAGCTCAATTGTTTCATGAAATTTTTACGTTTTTAACAAAAAATTATCCAATTTTCTTCAAATTCTTCGAGTTTTCAAGGCTTGTAGAACTTTCAAACTCTTTAGTGCTGTGATTTGCTCAAAATTCCTTAATAATGAAACCTAAAGTCTCCTCAAGTATCTTCAAAGTTGTCTCAGTCTTTTGCTTTAAATAAGACTTTGTGATGATGGAACACGAAAGAGAGCTTCTTAGGTTCTTTGAAGTCTTTGAACTCTTTAGGTTTTTCTTCAATGTTTTATCAGCCTTAATATCTTTACAATTTCTCAAAACCTTTCAGAGGCTTCAAAGTTCAGTTATGTGTCTTTAGAATCTTCAGTCTTAAATCATAAGTCCTTGAAGTCTCTGGATTCTATGAATTTTGTAGTATATCAAAAATTTAGGATCTTGAGTCTTGTCCTGAACCTTCTGGACATTAAAGTCTTCAAAGTCTTGTTTCCACTTTTCCAAAAGCTTTCAGAGGCTTCAAAGTTTAGTTTTGCGTCCTTAAAATATTAAGTCTTAAATTATAAGTCCTCGAAGTCTCTGGATTCTGTAAAATATCAAAAACTTACGATCTTAAGTCTTGTCCTGAACCTTCTAGACATTAATAGGTCTGTTTCTGCAAAAATCACAAACCAGTCAGAGTGAATTTAATTGGTTGAAACTTGTTTTCTGACTGTTTTCAACCAATGAAATTCACTCTGACTGATTTGTGATTTCTGCAGAAACAGACCTAAAATCTTCAAAGTCTTGAGTTTCCACTTTCTCACAAGCATTCAGAGGCTTCAAAGTTTAGTTTTGTGTCTTTGGAATCTTCAGTCTCAAATCATAATACCTTGAAGTCTCTGGATTCTATGAATTCTGTAGAATATCAAAAATTCTTGATCTTAAGTCTTGTACTGAACCTTCTAGACATTAAAGTCTTGAGTTTCCACTTTCTCAAAAGCTTTCAGAGGCTTCAAAGTTTAGTTTTGGGTCTTTGGAATCTTCAGTCTTAAATCATAATACCTTGAAGTCTCTGGATTCTATGAATTCTGTAGAATATCAAAAATTCATGAGGTTAAGTCTTGTACTGAACCTTCTTCTAGACATTAAAGTCTTGAGTTTCCACTTTCTCAGAAGCTTTCAGAGGCTTCAAAGTTTAGTTTTGTGTCTTTAGAATCTTCAGTCTCAAATCATAATATCTTGAAGTCTCTGGATTCTATGAATTTTGTAGAATATCAAAAATTCATAATCTTAAGTCTTGTACTGAACCTTCTTCTAGACTTTAAAGTCTTGAGTTTCCACTTTCTCAGAAGTTTTGAGAGGCTTCAAAGTTCAGTTTTGTGTCTTTGGAATCTTCAGTCTTAAATCATAATATCTTGAAGTCTCTGGATTCTATGAATTCTGTAGAATATCAAAAATTCATGATCTTAAGTCTTGTACTGAACCCCCTTCTAGACATTAAAGTCTCGAGTTTTCACTTTCTCAAAAGCAAAGCTTTCAGAGGCTTCAAAGTTTAGTTTTGTGTCTTTAGAATCTTCAGTCTTAAATCATAATACCTCGAAGTCTCTGGGTTCTATGAATTCTGTAGAATATCAAAAATTTATGATCGTAAGTCTTGCACTGAATCTTCTTCTAGACATTAAAGTTTTGAGTTTCCACTTTCTCAGAAGCTTTCAGAGGCTTCAAAGTTTAGTTTTGTGTCGTTGGAATCTTCAGTCTTAAATCATAATACCTTGAAGTCTCTGGATTCTATGAATTCTGTAGAATATCAAAAATTCATGATCTTAAGTGTTGTACTGAATCTTCTAGACATTAAAGTCTTGAATTTCCACTTTCTCAAAAGCTTTCAGAGGCTTCAAAGCAAGGGGCAAACCACCTAGGAATTCTTTGCCAAAAATGTGGGGAATTTAGAGGAATTTGTGGGAAATTTGGAGGAATTTGTGGGAAATTTAGACGAATTTGTGGGGAATTTGAAGAAACTCATCGGAATTTATGCGAACTTGGGGAATTTATAGGAACTTATAGGAAGTTTGAGAGAATTTGTGAGGAATTTGTGAGGAATTTATGAGGAATTTAAAGGAAATTGTAGGGTCATGACGTCACTAAGGTTCACATTCTTATTAGGTAAAAAAAATAGTAATAAATGGAAATTTAAAAAAAATCTAGTGAACTTTTCACTTTCCTCTTTAGATGCAAAAAGTTTCAAAATTCTCCCTTCACTAGTTTTCCAGGAAAACTTTGAAATGTGTGAGACTATATTTCCAACTAATTCAGTTTTTGTAGGTTGATTTCCAAGATTTTTCATGTGGCTGTTTTCCACTGGAAAAATTTGAAATTTTGTGAAAATGTGCTTTTCACCTTCCTCTTTACATGCAAAAAGTTTTAAAATTTTCCCTTCACTAGTTTTCCAGGAAAACTTTGAAATATGTGATACTGTATTTTCAATTAATTCAGTTATTGTAGGTTGATTTCCAAGATTCCTCATGTTGCAATTTTCTATTCGAAAAATTTGAAATTTTAGGAAAATGATCTTCTCACCTTTCTCTTTACATGCAAAAAGTTTCAAATTTCTTTCTTCACTAGTTTTTCAGGAAAACTTTGAAATGTGTGAGACTGTATTTTCAACTAATTCAGTTTTTGTAGGTTGATTTCCAAGATTTTTCATGTTGTTATTTTCCACTGGAAAAATTTGAAATTTTGGGAAAATGAGCTTCTCAGGTTCCTCATTATATGCAAAAAGTTTCAAAATTTTCCCTTCACTAGTTTTCCAGGAAAACTTTGAAATATGTGATACTGTATTTTCAAATAATTCAGTTATTGTAGGTTGATTTTCAAGATTTCTCATGTTGTTATTTTCCATTGGAAAAATTTGAAACTTTGAGAGAATGAGCTTCTCACCTTCCTCTTTACATGCAAAAAGTTTCAAAATTTTTCCTCTACTAGTTTTCCAGGAAGACTTTAAAATATGGGAGACTGTATTTTAAACTAATGCAGTTTTTGTAAGTTGATTTCCAAGATTTTTCATGTTACTGTTTTCCATTGGAAAATTTTGGAAAAATGAGCTTTTCACTTTCCTCTTAACATGCAAAAAGTTTCAAAATTTTCCCTCCACCAGATTTCTAGGAAAACTTTGAAATATGTGAGACTGTATTTTCAATTAATACAGTTATTGTAGGTGGATTTCCAATATTCCTCATAGTGTTAGTTTCCACTGGAAAAATTTGAAATTTTGGGAAAATGACTTCTCAGGTTCCTCATTACATGGGATAAGTTTCAAAATTTTCTCTTCACTAGTTTTCCAGGAAAACTTTGAAATGTGTGAGACTGTATTTTCAACTAATTTAGTTTTTTTAGGTTGATTTCCAATATTCCTAGTGTTGTTATTTTCCACTGGAAAAATTTGAAATTTTGGAAAAATGAGCTTTTCACTTTTCTCTTTACATGCAAAAAGTTTCAAAGTTTTCCCTCCACTAGATTTCTAGGAAAACTTTGAAATGTGTGAGACTGTATTTTCAACTAATTTAGTTTTTGTAGGTTGATTTCCAATATTCCTCATGTTGTTATTTTCCACTGGAAAAATGTGAAATTTTGGGAAAATGAGCTTCTCACCTTCCTCTTTACATGCAAAAAGTTTCAAAATTTTCCTTTTTTTTAGACGAATTTGTGGGGTATTTGGAGAAGTTCGTGGTGGGGTATTTGGAGGAATTTGTGATGGGCTATTTGGAGGAATTTGCAGGAATTTTGAGGAATTATGCGTGAAAAATTCCCCTTTGAGGAATTGTTTGCACCAATTCTGGGATGGTGGTTTACCCCTTGCTTCAAAGTTTAGTTTTGTGCTCGGTTTTGTGTCTTTGGAATCTTCAATCTTAAATCATAAGTCCTCGAAGTCTCTGGATTCTATGAATTTTGTAAAAAATTCAAAATTTACGTCTTGTTCTGAACCTTCTAGACATTAAAGACTTTGAGTTTCCACTTTCTTAAAAGCTTCCAGAGGCTTCAAAGTTTAGTTTTGTCTTTAGAATCTTCAGTCTTGAACCATAAGTCTCTGGATTCTATGAATTCGGTAGAAAATCAAAAATTTACAATTTCAGGATTTGTCCTGAAGTTTCTAGGAATTAAAATCTTCAAATTTTTTGGCCTTTACTTCAAATTTCAGCAGGCTATAAGAATTTCAAGCCTCTCCAGGTTGCATTTTAACCTTAAGGGATTCAAAAGATAGTTTTTTGAACTACTCTAGCTGAACTTTTATACCGTTCTAGCTCAATTTAGCTTCAGGAGAATCACAACTACTTTTTGGTTTCAAGGGAGTAATAATTATTGAGCCTGGAAAAGTCAAACTTCACTATTCATTATATTATATTTCATTTCTGAAAACTTAAATTCCATTTGGCATAATAACGTATCATAGATTATAATTACGTCAAGTTTATTGTTAAATTAAGCCTTATCAGTGTGGATATTAATAAAATTTATTACATCCAAGTGTCATCTTTTTCAAAGAACTTAAGAATTATTATCATGTCACTTGCAAAGAATACTTTACTAATAATTCAATGGAAATTGATAGAGCTTTGGTTATAATTATTGGTTCAAGGCTTACAATAATTACTAAAACGACAGCAATTTTCATGGGCCTAAAAAGTCACACGAGTATTACTTTGACTACTCTTATTACGAAAATTTCTAGAACGAAAATAATTTTTCCATTATTAATCTAGAACAGAAAAACTGCACGTTGTTAACAAGATAAAAAAAAAATGAATGAAATGCAAATTTGCAGTCTTAGCAAACTTGATAAATATTATCTAACATTGTTGATTTACAATCATTGATTCAATGTCACACTTTTTGGAAATTCGATTATCGATGATGGAATTTTTAGTCTTATCTTTAATAATGTGTTTTGTTACAGATTTGCCGGAACACAAGAATATGTTATATTGGATGAACCAGTAAGTATTTATTATTTTTCCTTATTGCTCAAGCTAACACATGAATCTCAATAAACACATTCTATACGTTGTACGATTATCTCTCAAACATTCACAACAAATATTTGCACAGAGGAGGAACTTATTTATGACTATTATAGTTCTGAGATGATGTTTGCCTATTGTCAATCTTGAATTTTTATCTAGGAAACTGATATCTGGGACGAATACCTTAAACCCAACCAACTACTATTGGAATTATGCAAAGATTATCATCTGACAATCAACAATAATCAAATAGATTGCTCGAATATTGAATTTAAAGCCAAGCAAGACAATACCCACATTATTCACAGAAGAGAGGCTGACGATATTGAACTGGAAGGATCTGGCAATGGTAAGGGTAACAACTTTTTCAGTACAGTGTTTAAATTATTGATAAATTTCAGGTGAATCTGAAATATCACTGTTTGGGGAAAACAATAAGGATGAAGCAGCAGAATCTGTAGAAAAATCAGATGTGGTAAAAGAGGCTGCAAATGATACTGTTGTAGCTGTAGAAGCATCAAATAATGCTCAAGGAGAATCTGATGTAGATCCACCAGCAGCAGAAGTTGTAGTACCTTCAGTATCAGAATCAGACAAGGTTGAAAAAGTAGATCCACCAGCGACAGAAAATGTTCCAGAAGTTGTTGATGCTCAAGAAATACCTGCTGTAGAACCACCAGTAGTAGAAAGTGTTCCAGAAGTTATAGATGATGTTCAAGAAAAATCTGCTGTAGATCCACCAGCAGTAGAAGTTGTTGTGCCATCAGTAACAGAATCAGACAAGGCTCAAGAAGAATCTGCTTTAAAACCATCAGAATCTGCTGCTGTTGAGCCAGAAGAATCAGCTGTGAAACCATCAGAAGAAAAATCAGAGAATGTTCCAGAAGAATCTGTTGTTGTTGAAGCCGTACAACCAGAAGCTGGATTAGAGAAGGTTTCAAAACCATCTGAATCTGATGCTATAGGCGAAATTGTTGACAACGTCGCAAAAGAGACCGTTGAAGAAGCAAAAGGTGAGACGTTTGATTCCATCTCATTGTGTCCAAAATAGCAATGATATTTTGGACACCCTGTATGGATAATTAAACCAAATAACAGTTTTCTAAATTTATTTTCCCTAGAAGCCGACGTTGCCTTGATACAACCTGAAGTAATCGATGAAAAACAATCAGGCAACGCAATTTTGTTCAAAGAACCCAAAACTCTTGAAGCCAATAATAGTCCAGTAGAAGGCAGCGACAGCGAAAAACATCTAGCAAGCCTTGCCACTAACGAAGACTCAAAAAGTAAGCAACCCCTTACTAAAACCCTTCAATACCTAAAATCTCTTTTATTCTAGTTGAACAACCCACCACTGGTGAAAGCGCCAAAACCGTATCGAAAGCAAGCAAAGACACCACAATTCTTATAGTTTTATTCGTAGTAGTCTTGGTCATAGGAGGAGCAGCTTTTACACATCACATGATTAAAATGCGTAAAGCTAAAAGGGCAGAGGAAAGTAGTTTGGTTGATGGAATTAGAAAAAGCCTGCAAAATTTGGCTGGCAATGGCAAAGCACCTACTCCAGATGTGGAACAAGGTACTGAAATGAAACCTTTGATGAATGTGGATAGCAATAGCAGTCCGGTTATGGTTAAAGAGTATTCGGATAAGAAAAATCAGTTGGAAGCTTGAATTTGTTTATTATAAGTTTGTATTTTTATTTTGTGATAATTTTTTAGTCAGTACTTACTGAAATGAGAAGCATTGTGCCTGTTTTGTAACTGTTGTCTTTATAAAAACAATGTACTTATACATTTACGGAAATATTTATAATAATAAATTGTTTTTTAAGTTGTCAGTTTGTTATTTTAAGAGTGATTAAATGAGTTAAGTCCTCCAGTTACTTGGCCACAGTCGCGAAAAAGATTTGAGAGATACATGTCTGTATCAGGGCAAAATAGCAAGAGTAATACAGAAAAAATTGATTCTGCTTTTATATGTTATAGGAAATGAGTCTGAAGATATACTGATCACAGAGCCATGGCCAACTACATACCAAACTATGTTGGATTAATTCGAGAAGCCAATTTGGGGTAATTTATCAATTTTTCAATTTTCCTGAGTGCCTTTTTTCATAGATTTCGGCTTCAAATCTGGAAATAACGTGGTGTATGGAGTTCGGAGGATATCAGATGACCATTAGGACACAAAATCTCAACAACAAAAAAATTGAAATTTCATCGTTTTAGTAAGAAGGTAGTATGATTTAGATTTTGGAAAATTTTGAAAGGTCATAACTTTTTTTCTATCATAGATATAAAGCTGAAATTTTCAGTGATTTTTATTCCAGTAGAGGACTACAATCCCTGAAAATTTCAACTCATTTGGACTTATAGTTCCAGAGATAAAATCGTGTTAAGCAATTTGGGGTGATTTATCAATTTTTCAATTTTTCTGAGTGCCTTTTTTCATAGATTTCGGCTTCAAATCTGGGAATAACTTCGTGTATGGAGTTCAGAGGATAAAGATGACTATTAGGACACAAAATCTCAACAACAAAAAAATTGAAATTTCATCGTTTTAGCATAGACTTAAGAAGGTAGCTACCTTATGATTTAGATTTTGGAAAATTTTGAAAGGTCATAACTTTTTCTATCATAGATATAAAGCTGCAATTTTCAGGGATTTTTATTCCAGTAGAGGACTTCAATCCCTGAAAATTTCAACTCATTTGGACTTATAGTTCCTGAGATAAAAACGTGTTAAGAAATTTGGGGTGATTTATCAATTTTTCAATTTTTCTGAGTGCCTTTTCTCATAGATTTCGGCTTCAAATTTGGGAATAACTTAGTGTATGGAGTTCGGGGAATCCCAAGTGATCATTAGGACACAAAATCTCAACAACAAAAAATTTGAAATTTCCGAGGGGTAAACCACTAGGGTGAAAATGTGACAGTATTGCGCAAAATTAGGGATTTCGCAAAATTTCGTAATGATTGCACGGGATTTCGCAGAATTGTACAAGATTTCGCGGGATTTCTCGAATTTGCATAGGATTTCGCGTGATTGCGCAGGATTTCGCGTGACTGCGCAGGATTTCTTGTGATTGCTCAGATTTTCTCGGGATTGCGCGGGATTTCTCCTACTTTAAAGTATTTTATTTGGGACTTCTTCCAGTGAATATTATACCTAGGTATATCATGTAAAAATACTCTAGGTACAAAAAAAAAAACCGTAAGTAATTATTTTATTGAAATCAAATCACAAATATTCTTTTAATTTTTTCTTGACCATTTCACTACAGTCTATTTTATCCGAGATTTTATCCCAAGATAGATTTTGACATTGAAAACTTTGAAAAGTTTATGTTTGGCCTTGATTGGTCGCAAAATGAGGTGTCCCTGGAGGTTGACATCAGTTTTACAATACATGTCGTGCAAATGGCATTTTGCGACCAATAAGCGGCATTAGCGGCATTGTTTATGTTTCAAAGTTAAGAATGTCAAAATCTATCTTGGGAAAAAATAAACTGTAAAGTCTTTTTTTTTAAAAGATAAAAGTCAAAATGACATTATGTTGGCAATACAATGTAAAATTGTCAATGCATTCAAAATTTTTATGTAGAAAAGGCTTGTGTTGCGAACATAGTTACTAAATTTCTGACTTGGGGAATTATCTTTAAAAAAAAAAACTTTAGAGTATTTTACACTATTTTAATAGTGTTTTACACTGGTAAAATGTCATAGGAATGGCCGGTTTCCTACTGACAAAACTCCTACCTGGACCAAACCAACATGATGGTTTTTCAGCAACAAAATTTTGTGTGGTTAGAGTAAAAAAATTTGACTTGTTTTTCTCGTGAAATAGTCCAGCCGAATACCACTCAAGAAAAAATTATGTAGGCAAAATTATTCCCTTGGTTTTATTCAAGTTTGTTGCTTTTTGGTAATAAATTTTTCTAGAAGAACTTTTTGCAGCAGAATTCAGTGATGTTCACAATTTTTTTCTAGTTGCCCCAACTTCGAAATATTGACCAAAGTCCGGTTTTTTTCAATGGGATACCCTATATGTACAGGGTGGGCCAATTTGGACACTTCCTTATGGAAACACCCTTTATTTTTAGAGATAGAAAAAAATGAACCCCCCACTCTGAGGCTCAAATTTAATGAAATTTTGATTGGTGCAAACCGCTTTTTGATATCTTCAACTGTTTAGCCGCTAGAGGGCGATTCTCGATTTTGAGCAATATTGTGAATCCTTCATAACTTTTTTGTTTATGAAAATAATTTATGAGAAAAA